TGGGACTTACTTATCCCATCTATAAAGTGAGGGAGTTTAAATGGTTTTTAAGTTTCTCATCAGTTCTGACATATCATGCACAATGTCTCCAGAAGTAGCTAGTTCTAGGAAGGTATGGCCCCACTTGATCTCTGAAGGAACAGAAAAAAAAAAAACAACCCCAGAAAGAAACTACATCAGGCATCCTTAGCCCCATGACCAGTGATGGCTGAAAATGATCATAGGAGAGACCATTTGGATAAACTCAGAATTATCCACGTCTTGCAGGGAAGGCCCAAAGATGGAGTGTGATTCTGGAGAGTCCATGGACTTGTGAGTCTAACAGAACTGAATTCAAATTCCAGCTACGGGGGTGGGGCCTGTTATTTAACCTCTGTAGTTCTCAGTTTCCTTGGTTGTTTAAAAAAAAAGAAAAGAAAAAAAGAGGGATCATATCTATGTCGTAGGAGCAGGGTAAGGATTAAGGTTTATGTATCATACCTGGTATTTATAGGCCTTCCATAAGTGTTAGGTCGTTCTCCCTATTTTACACAATCCTTCACTAGTTAAAAGTACTTTCACAGATACTGGCCTGTGCCTGTGAAACTTTATTCATTTACATCTTACCCTAAGGTTGGAGTTTTGCAAGTGGACATTTTTGTGGGTTAGAGCAGCTCAGCAGTTTTCTGGTAGGGCAGAGTGCCTAGGTCCATGAGCATCTTCCCTCAGTCTAATACAGTGTGTCTGATAAGATTCAGTCCTATGCTTCCTGCAGCTTACTGAGGGTGTTTTGGTAGTTAAGGTGACCACCAGCTCCGGGGTTACTGGGGGGCAGGCAGGGCATTATCAATTCCTCACTACTCATGCAAAACTTGGAGCCATGTTCAATAGCAACAGTTAATGAGACACTAGAGCAACCCAATAAAGACAGGACCACTAAGGACACATCCTTCAGTAATGAAGATTTGGGTCACTCCAACAGGTAAGGAACTCAGACCAACTGAAGTGCAGGCTGAGGACCATAGGAATACATAATGGGCAATGGAAGAAAGATACTGTGATATCATGACTAATTTAAAAAACGAGGTAGGCATATTTCCTTCCTTGCATGACAAAATGTGCATGTACGTGTACACACACACACACACAGACACACACACACCTTCAGACAGGCACATAGGTGCTTTTAGCCCCCTTCCTCCCTCTGTCGTTTTCTATAAGGAGTGTGGGTGGTGGTGAACATTATAGATTAGTTTCTAGATTATACAATATCCAGCTGGGATTATGATTAAAAGAGGAATTAATATCACCCAGAGACAGACACAATGAGGTAGGGATTTCGTGTTTGCTCTCTTCTGCCAGGCAGCGAGGGCATTTTCTTTTGTACAAAGGACAGTTGCGTCCTGTGAGGTGGAGGCAGGAAGCTGCTGCTGCTGCTGTTGTGTGGAGGTTTGCACGTGGCTTCAAGAGTGTATCCGGATGCTCGGTCACCACAGGAGTGGACCATGCATTATTTATCTGGCCAGCCTCAGCCATACACCCATTCTCCTATACTCTACTCTGTACTGCTGGGGTAGGAGTCTGCAAATTACATTTCCTAGGCTTTCTTACCAGCTGGCTTTCTATTAAGTTTTGCCAATTGCAGACAGTGGTGGGAGATCAGAAGGTGGGAGGAAGAGAGAAGTCCCTGGGTCTAACTCCAGCAGCAGCAACCACCACCGGTGGTTGCCAAGTGGCATCTGGGCAGTGGTGGCACCTGTAGGAGTCTGCAAATTACATTTCCTAGGCTTTCTTACCAACTGGCTTTCTATTAAGTTTTGCCAATTGCAGACAGTGGTGGGAGATCAGAAGGTGGGAGGAAGAGAGAAGTCCCTGGGTCTGACTCCAGCAGCAGCAACCACCACCGGTGGTTGCCAAGTGGCATCTGGGCAGTGGTGGCACCTCTTTGGCAGCTTCGGCAGTGTCTAGTAGAGGCTTTGTGTCAGTTATCTAATGCTGTATACAAGTCTCTCCAAAACTTAACAACTTTAAACAATAGTAATCATGTTCTTATTCTCAGAGTTCTGGGAGTTGACTGGGCTCAGCTAGTAGTTCCTGCTTGGGGTCTCTCCTGCTGCTGCAGAGTGGCTGGGACTGGAGTTACCATGAAGGCTTGCTCACTCACTTGTGTGGAGTTGATGCTGGCCTCTCCACGTGGCCCAGGCTTCCTCACAACATGGTGGCTGGGTTCCAAGAACAAGCATCCCGAGAGAGAACCAGGTGGAATCTGTTACATTTTAGGACCTAGCCTCGGAAGTCACAGAACACCTTGTCCATTGCGTTGTATCTGTTAGAAGCATGTCACTAAGCCTAGCCCACAATCAAGGAAGGAGAACTAAACTCCACCTACTGATGGGATGAGGGCCAAAGACTTTGATGACATATTTTGAAACCACCATAGGCAGTAGCTCCAGCAACATAGCAGCAGGTTTTGGCTTGTAGGTTCCAGCCCAGGAATCTTAGCAGCTTCTTGGCCTCTGCACCTCATTCCTTCTGCCTCCTCCAGCCCTTTCTCTTTTGTTTACCAGCCCTTCCAACATCTTTGTAACTAATTCCCTATATTAAATTCCTTCTATTCAGTATGCTCAGAATGGTTTCTTTTTTCCTGACTAGACTGATACATGTGGGACTATCCCATGCTGTTCAAACTCTCCATCTGAATTGAATAGCAGAGATATGTGTAGAAATACTATGTGCAAGAACCATGCTAGGTGCTTTACACGTTATCACATTTAATTCTAACATCAACCCTGAGAAGTGAGTATGAGAATACTTACATTATGGACATAGAAACTCAGGCTCGGAAGGTTTAAACAACTTGGATATAGCTAGAGAGAGCTGGGATCCATCTCTAGGTCTGACTCTGAAGTCATTTATTTCTTGGGTCTTGGAATGAGAAAAGCTACTCCTGACAAAAAGTTTCATCTTCACCTCTCATCCTTTTACACCTGTTTGATGAATCCCACCTTATAAATATGACCTACATTCCAAGACGGATGAGAAGGAAGACATGAATGTGTCTAGGGAAGAGGAGCACAAAGACTCAAGAACCTGCTATTGATGAAGGCTGCAGGGCATGTGGCAAAAGGCGCTAGACAGGAGTTTGGAGGCCTGGGTTCAACTCCCAGCTATGCTACTCATGTGAAGACCCCAGGCAGTCACTTCTTCTCCAGAGGCCTCCGGTTCCACATCTGGACAATGAATCTGATGTTCTGTGCACTACTGAGTACTTTGCAAAGTATCTTCTTTGGGGATATAAAAAGCTGTATCAGATATGGGGTAGAGAAATTAAAATAAAATAAGCTAAAATAAAGCCTGACTATAAAAGGTCTTGAACAGTTGATAAGAAATTCTTATTTTATCCTATAAGCAGTGGGGAATCATTTTAGCTTCTTAAGGAAGAAACTAAAAACAAAAACAATTATACAAAAGAATGCTAGCAGCGAGAGTCATGTACTGAATGTTGTGTACTAGGCTTTAGAAATGTTGGCTCACAGGGCCGTTACAACTCCAGGACATCTGACATTTTGACATCTCCATTTCACAGATGGAGAAAACTGCTCAAAGAGGCTAAGTGACTGGCCCAAAGTCGCACAGCTGGTCTGTGGTGGAGCTGAGATTCAACCATTTGGTCATATCCTAAGTCTGTGCTCATTTCACTATATCACAAGGATTCTAATTTGGGTTGGAATGAGCTGAGCCCAAAGGTAGAAAAAAATAAGTAGAAAGATATTGTTCAAAGGTACAAGTGATGCTGTGCATCTGTGCTGATTGCAGGGCAATGAAAATACAGAGCATAAGGTAAACAGAGAGCATTTAAAGAAAAAAAAAAGAACCTGAGGGCTGACAGAATAGACTGGTGTGACATGTGAGGTGGACAGGCAGTGGCTTCCTGACAGCCCCTCCTCCTCAGCTTCCACTCCGGTGTCCACTCTGTCCCTGCAGCCTGTGCGCCCGAGGAGAGGCTGCCTCCACCTGTGGCAAGTGTCTCAGGCCTGAGCTAATCAGCCTAGTCCTGTTCTTCAGCCACTCACTGGCTCAGGGATGGGCATGTCACCCAATTAAGGCCCATGAGACCAGACAGAGGCTTGCTAGGGACTGTTGGAAAGTTTTCTTGCTTTTCTAATAGGGCTTCTGAAAGGAATCTTCTGTCTCCCCAAATGTGGATGGGGAAGTGTATATAGCCCTTGAAGTTGTTGCTGGGGGTCTCATATTTATGAGGGGAGCCAGCCTTAGTATGATGCCACCACTGCAAAGTGCAGAGAAACTGGGGCAAATGAGTTCATCCTTTCTTGTTCAAGGTGCTCTGCAGTGGGTTTCCTGTTGCTTGAACATGTCTTCACTGTTACAGCAGGGAAGGCTCTGCAAGGTGTCTATCCCAGGCTGCTCACTCAAAAGTCACTCTGCCACACACCTTTGTGGAGAACAAAGAGAAACATAAAGAGCCTAGATCCAGGAAAACGTTGATGCGATGCTGGAGAGCCCTCGCTGGAAAGAAACAGGATGGAGATGAGGGATATGAAAGGCAGGCAGCGAGAGCCAGGCCTCCCCAGCCCAAGACCCTCCTGGGCTGCAGGTGAACAGGCATCCACACAGTCTGTCACGTCCCTGACTCTCACATACCTACAATACGCAGGCCACAGGGAAAGCTATCACGCAGGACCCACACGGTTTTGTACACAGACAGGTTTCTTTTCCTCTGATGCTAAGCCTGCCAATATATTTGGGTCCCACCTGGGTAAATGTCTGATGTATACATCTCAAAAATCAAGTATTATAAAACAAACCAGGGTATCTTCAAATTCAAGCAATCGGTCAAAGTAACAAACACCGTCCTGTCAAAAAAAAAAAACAAACACTTTATTCATCTACACATAACATACATAAAAGCTGGCAAAATCAGGATGTTTTCCTCAGCCATCCTTTCCACATTTTGTGCAGTTTTAGTGAACTATAAATCATGGATTTCTTCATGCCTAAAAGAGAAAAGAAGAGAGGGTGAGAAAGTGGAGACTCATCAAGGGAATGCTCAGAGTTCCAGTGATATTGTGACCAGAGACTGGCCCTGGCAGCAGGGCAGTGATGGGCTGCCGGGTGGGATCTAGGAGACGAGGGGGCTGAAGGTTATTAAAGGTCATTGTGATCAATGGGGGGAAAAGACTGATTTAGGCATCTGCTGAAACAGTGACATGAAGGCCAGTGGTATCTGAGTTACTGGGATACGTCAATCTTTTGAGTTTCAAGCATATTGGCAGCCTTTGAATTTATTAGTGCTTTAAAAAAGGACGCAAGAGGTAGGACAAAGACTCTGCACACAGTTGGGCACCCTTGGCCCCCTATCTCTCTCCCAGTGCCGGAACTGCAAACACCCCCAGCTCACTGCTTCTGTGTCACTGAGTATGCCACCTGCCAGCCTACAATGAATGCTGTTCCCACCACTTTCCACCTAGTAGACTCGGAACCCCATTTAAGATTTCTTCTCTAGGAAGTACCTTCCTAGACTCCCAGGTTGGTCCCACAGCATCTGTGCTCCCTTGACACTGTATAGTACTTGTCACCTGACTCGCCCATTCCTCTGCCTAGACTGGGAGCTCCTTGAGGACAGGGACCTTGTCCGATTCATCTCTATATCCTCATCACCGAGTACAGTACCCAGCACACAGCAGGTATTCAGTAAACGCTTCTGCATTGAGGGAACAAATGCGCCTCATTCAGGTAGCTGACCCTCCAGCATCCCCATCTACTCAATCACAAGCACCTGATGAAACCCGAGGACAGGCTCTCTGGGGGCCTAGAGGAGAGAAGTAAAATGGGATAAAATAAGTGAGATGTTACTTGTCTGTCGGATCTAGCAGGACCCTATTTGTGGACTACTTCCTTTGTGTTAAGGGTGAGATCATTTGGTTTGTGTTTCATGGTGTGGCTCAAAGACCCTAACGGTCATTTTCATGATGAGGTGCACGCCGTGGTCTGTGCTGCAGTCTGAAAGGCACACCCCTGGCAGTGCACTTTGGTAAACATGCTGACAAGGTAACAAGATTCATTCCATAGATGCCTAGCACTGGGTTTTGAGTGATCTCTTGAAAATATCTGGCCCTGTTTCCTGTAAATTGTCTAGTCCACTTGGCAAAAAACCCTTTGAAGAGGTTACCGCAGGCAGTGGCAGGTAAAAAGGCAGGCAGCAGTAAAATCATTAACGAATACTTCTGGATGCTCTGGCGTGGTTTGTCTACCGGCTGACTGACTACCTGCAAATTGACATAGCCTAGCCAAGAAACTCAGAACGCCTTTCCCTGCCTCCACCCCTTTTAATTTTCTCCCTGGAGCAACCACTCTGGTAAACCTCAGTCTACCGGCTGACTGACTACCTGCAAATTGACATAGCCTAGCCAAGAAACTCAGAATGCCTTTCCCTGCCTCCACCCCTTTTAATTTTCTCCCTGGAGCAACCACTCTGGTAAACCTCACCCACTTGAGCATTGAAACTGGAAACTTATTATGTAAGATGCTTTTTAAAACTCCAGCCAGATCCAACCAAGAGACCAAGCAGGTAGTTGCATATGCTAAGGTTCAATACAGCAACCCCAGGGCACTGAGTCACAACTAGAGGGAAGACACATGGACCATGATAATTCCCAGCTCAACTTCAAAAAAACTTACTCACAGACTCCTTGGAGCTTAAACATTTAAGGTAAATATATAAAGTAGATGAGCGTTACCATGTAGCCATTTTTTGCTGCGAGTGTACCGAAACCTCCCTTGACTAAACTTTCGCCCTTTGATGGCTCTGCCACCAGGATATTCTCAGGAAGCCTGCAGCAGGGAATTTTGTCAGAAAGAACAGGAGCAGGAGTCAAGAGACCTGGATTCTAGTCCCAGGTGGACCACAACTGACAGTGTGACTCCCTCTCTCTGGGCCTCAATTTCCTCACCTGCAAAATGACTAGGTTGAACTAGATTAGGGGTTCTCTAACAAGGGGCCCGTAGATAGACCTGGATGCCAGCGTGTGAACTCCCTGAAACAACACAAGCATCTACTGCGTATGTGCATATGTGTACTTCTGTGCTGAGCACTGGAGTTTTGGTCAGGTTTTCAGAGGGATCCGAGACTTGCAAAAGGTTAGGAATGAAGGGTTCTTTCTGTCCTAATATTCTAATTTTATTTTATTTTTTAAAATTTAATTTAATTTAATTTTTTTTTGTCCTTTTTGAGACCAGCCGCACCACACTCAGCCAGAGAGCACTGCGAGCGCGTTAAAATTTAATTTAATTTAATTTTTTTTTTTGTCCTTTTTGAGACCAGCCGCACCACACTCAGCCAGAGAGCACTGCGAGCGCGCCGGTCATCCCTATATAGGATCCAAACCCGAGGCGGGAGCACCGCTGCGCTCCCAGCGCTGCACTCTCCCGAGTGCGCCACGGGCTCGGCCCCATATTCTAATTTTAATAAAGGACTTAAACTTCATGAATTTGGAACAGGCAAAAATATCCTATACAGGACACAAAAAACTGATAACCACAAAGAACAAAAATGGATAAATTAGATTACATAAAATTAAGAACTTCTTTTCATCAGAAGACAAACCCCAAAGTGGGAGATTTTTGCCCTACATATAACTAACAAAGGACTTGCACCCAGACTTGGGCAAGAGTTTTATAACTAACAAAGCACTTGCACACAGAGAATTCAGTAAGAAAAAAGCAGACAACTCGATAGGAAATTGAGCAAAAGACTAGAATAGACACTTCACAAAAGAGGATATCCAAATAAATGTATGAAAAAATGTTCAACTTCCTTAGTCATCAGGAAAATGTAAATTAAACCCCAACATGATACCACTACTTACCTACCACAGTGCCTAAAATGAGAAAAATGTATAGTACATATCAAGTATTGGCCAAAGAGGTGCTGCAACAGAAGCCCTGCCAGTGTAAGTATAAATTTGGACACTTATTTGGTAGTATTTACTAAGGCTGAACATTCACATCTTTACGATCCAGGAATTCTACCCCTAACCATGTACCTGATAGAATGCATACATATGCTCACCAAAAGGCAGGTGCAAAAATATTCACAGCAGCCCTACTTGTAATAGTCGCAAAGTGGAAACAAACCCAGTATCCCTCAAGAGTAGAATGGCTAAACTATGGTGTATTCGTACAACAGAATACTGCAACGAAACACACTATCGCTACTCCCAACAATAGCATGAATCTCATGATGTTATGAGGAGTGAAGGATACAAAGTTCAAGAACGTGCCAACAGAACCATGGCATTAGAAGTCAGGATAGTACTCACTATTGGAGGAGCATTGCCTGTGACTACAGGGCGGTCCTGGGAGATGGTGCTGCTCTAGCTTTTTATGTGGGCACCAGGCTCACAACGTACTCGTTTTGTGAAAATTCACCATATTTGTTATTTGTGCACTTTTCTTTATATATGGAGATATTTCCTATTACCAGATTTAGAATCTTTCATTCATTTAGTCACAATCTGAACAAGTATTTATTGAGCACCTATATATGTAGGACACAGAGCTAGCTGTTGGGGACACTGGTATGACAACAGTTGTAGTCCCTGCCCTCACAGAGTTTACAATCCATAGAATTCTATTTGGCCTACATTAAGCTTACTCTTTGATTTCTGCTTTATTTCTAAAGAAAAGGATGGTGATTTAGGAATTCTGCACACCCTGAAATCCATTTAGAATGTATCTTTGAGGGAAGACGGTCCGCTGAGAGAGAAACTACCCTGACCACCTCTCCACGCTCCTTCCCGACTGCACAAAGATGAACACCTTTAGATGCATCCTCTTTTAGAGAGGTCCTGATTTACCTAAAGCTAGTCATCATGACTTCTGATTAGTATTTAAAGCCAGGATTTGTTTTGGATGCATACAGAAATCTACTTTATCTTCGGCTCCTAAGTATTTTTTCTGCTGATTTCCAGTTTGTTCCACATGACCTTCACACATATCTAAGACTATGCACTCCCTGTGTGACCTCAAATGGACAGGTCCACTGACAGACAAAATTCTCCAGGACACAGTGTGGGCAGAGGTATGGATAGGTTGTGGGAGGCCTCTACCTTCCCATAATTCTATATTTCAGATCTTTGGGAGAGAAAATTAGTAAGCCCCCAAACATTCTTCTAATTAATTTCCAACCACAGTTAGACATATCTACAAAGAAAATCTCTTCTGAGGCAGAAGTACAACTTATTTTAAGAACTTTCAGGTTTAAGGGATAAGCATATCACCAGAAAAATCTTTGATATTATTATGTGTTCTTATTTAAATACGTAGGTACCAAAAAATGGAAGAAACACTTTAGTTCTAAGAAATCAGAAACAGAGGATAATGAATGATCCATTCTATTGTGTTTTAGGCAATGCCTGGTAAGGATCAACTAGGGCATGCTAGAATCTTCTTAGAAACATGACTAAACCTGTCTTGTTAACTCAGCTGAATCTTTTGAAGTTAGGGAGGTAAACAGGTATCTGCTCCCAGAATTCATTCTGATTAACCAGAAATTCAGGTGGGGAAAAAATAAAGCAAGATTTCAAAAATTAAACTCATCACGCTCCCCCAACCTCCCTCACCTCAAGGAACGGTGCCTTTGCCTCCCAAGCCAGAAACCAGGGAGTTCGCTTTGATGTCCCCCTCTCCTTCACCTTCCATTCCTTCCTGATACTGCTGAGATCTCTTCTGTCTGTACTACAAATGGCCTGAGTTCAGACTGCCATGATTCCTCACCTGGCTGGCTGCTAACTTCCCAAGCCAGAAACCAGGGAGTTCGCTTTGATGTCCCCCTCTCCTTCACCTTCCATTCCTTCCTGATACTGCTGAGATCTCTCCTGTCTGTACTACAAATGGCCTGAGTTCAGACTGCCATGATTCCTCACCTGGCTGGCTGCTACCATAGCTAATCGGTCTCCCTAGCCATCACTTTACCTCCCTTCCGTCTGTTCTTTACTCTCTAGCTACTGCAGTCTTTCTACAACCCTTTAGTGGCTTCCCTCTGCCCTCAGAACAAACTCTGAGTTCCTTAGCATGGCTTTTAAAAAGGCTTCCCCGGTCTGGCTCCTGCTTATCTCTCAGTCTGATCACTAAATTCCCACACCAGAATACTCAAACAATTCTACTTCTCTCCAATCAGGTTAGACACTGTACAAAAGGCTGCTGCTCAGAACAGGACAGTCTGCTTAGCCGGTCTTCTGTTGCCATCTGCTGCCACCATGAGAGGAGGAGCAGGCAAGTACTAGAGGCTACTTGCTTTTGTTCGTCCTGAGCTGGCTGGCTTCAGTTGTGGATCTGTTCCCCTCATGAAAACAATGCTGTTTTACTAATAGCACAGTCTAAGAGAAGTCAATAGCATTTTCTAAATAAGATACTCCCAGGTTAAAGGAAAAGAAACATAAGTGTTTGGCTTTGGATGCATTTCTGTACTCTCATTTGACATGAGTATATGTGATGGTTAGGGAATTTCAAGAGACCTAATAAACACAGAGTGGCAAGCCGCAGAAGAAGCACTGCTATGTTATCCAACACAGTTTCTAGGATGGGCAGTCCTCTGAGCTGGTCATAGATGCCAGGCTTCGATCTTCTCTAAGATATAAAGTGCCCACTAGGTACCAGGTAACATACTTGACACTCTCGTTTAAGCCTCAGAACACCTTGTGAGGTAGATATTAATATTCCCACTATTTCAAAGAAGGGAAGTTAATTAATACACCAAGATTACAGAGTGAAGAAATGAATAACTATTAGAACTTCAAACTCGTATCTCCTGATCCCAGCCTTAGCTCCTTTGGTTAGCTCTCTCCCTGAATCTAACTGCATTTGAATATAAAATGTATTCCCTGACGCGGGGGAAGAGCGATAATGGCTACAAAAGAAAAAAACTAAACCAAATACATTGGGATTTTCTCACCCTAGAGATGATATAACTGTTGGATGAAAAACTGAACAGAGGCAGAACTTTGGAGATGTCGGGGAGAAGGACCTAGCAAAAGCGAGGCAGAACAGCAGCAGCTCTGACTACGACAGAAGGACTTGTAAAGAACATGGTGCAGGATAGGGGCTCTGAAGCTGGCTGTGAGGACAGAGCGGAAAGATGCTTTTACATGTCTTAAGATTATTTCCACAGCTTGGTGAGGCAGGCATAATTATTCCTATAAAATTAAAACCAGAAAAATTAGGTAACTTGCCCAAGTCACCATGGTTAAGTTGTAATTTGAACTCTAGTCTCGGGGCTAACAAACCCCACCCTTGGTACCATGTCAGGCAGCCTTCATCACAGCCCACGACTATCATCAACAGAGAAGCCAGAAAATTATATTAAGTGAAACAAACCAGGCACAGAAAGAGAAATACCATATGTTCTCACTTACTTGTGAGAGCTAATAAAAATAAATAAGTAAATAAATAAACGAATGGGGGCGGGGCGGGGGGAAGAAGACACAACAATTCCTTGATTTTGTTAGGACAAGTGAACAGATATGATGTTGATGGGGGGAGGGAGGAGAGGGAGGGAAGAACAGGAGGAATTGGTAAAGGGGCACGAAAATCAACTCTATTGTATATTGATAAATAAAAATAAAATAAAATAAAAACCAGATAAGCCAGAGCATAAGGCAAGTAAACCCACAGAATCTGAAGGGGTGCTCATCACTTTCCACAGACTCTGTCATCTCAGTCACATGTGCTCTGTCACTCTGGACTTCCACAATCCAATGTGGCCAGGTCAGAAGTGAAAGGGACGTGAGCAGTAAGCCAAGGGAGCCAGCATCTCCAGGCCCACAAGGAAATCTGGGCTGAGGGCTCTGTGACCCACTGCCCTCTGCTGGCTGGTGGAAAGAACGAGTGGAAAGAGGACCAAGGCTCATTTCAGGTGATAATGGAGCTTTTAAAACCTTTTATTAGAGAAAAAGTCAAACTTTTAAAAGGACAGACTCTGCATACTCACCCAGCTTCAACAACGTATTAACTCATGGCCAGTCTTGTGTCATCTACCCCTTACCCACTTCCCACCACCATGTTTTATTTTGAAGCAAATTCCAGGCATCACATCATTTCATCTGTAAATATTTTAGTATAAATCTTTAAGAGAAAAGAGATTTTAAAAACCCCATAATACCACCATTATCACAAGTAAAAAAATTAACAATAATTCTAAGTATTCCTTATAGCATGGGAAGCCAAAAAAAGAAAAAAAAAACAAAAACAAACAAAAAAACCCCCACAAATCATCAAGCCTCACCCAGAAAGGATCATGGCAAGAAAGTGGCAATCATGCAAAACATAGATTAATAGCCTGAATCACCCAAGCAAACAAAAGCACCTCATCTGCAGTCTTGCCAGGATAAACCAGGAGGAACATAGATTAAATGATTATCTTATTTGGAAATGCAAAGCAACACATCCCCAAGTGGCAGGAAAATCTTTAGTTTAGATTTGACACAAGTGCTACTGAATTGTTGAATCTTTCCAAAGATCCAGGAGGGCAACACTGTGTCCTTGGGTCGAATGCTCAGACGGGTAAACAAGCAGCTGGGCTGTGGGGCATTAAGAGGAGTGACCACACCAGTGCCCTGGCAATCACAAATCCGGGGATCAGAAGCAGATTGAAAGATCACTCCCTTTTTTGGGCTATCTCTGTGCCATTTCTCCCCTGTACTGCAAATTTCTATTAACACGTCTGTCTCCCCTTCTAGACTATGAGCCTCTGGAAGACAGAACAGCATTGTGTTCACTTTTGTATCCTACGTGGCTAGCACATGAGATGCTCAATAGATGGTTACATGAAGAAAGCCTGAACTAGAAAAGTCAATCACTTGACGACACAAGTGTTGGAAGGAATGGGGAGAAAAGAGAATTCTCATACATTGCTAGTGGGACTATGAATCATTACAGCCACTTTGGAGGGGAATTTGGCAGTATCCAAAGATATGTTCAAATGCTTAACCCATAATGACACAAGTGTTGGGAGGAATGGGGAGAAAAGAGAATTCTCATACATTGCTAGTGGGACTATGAATCATCACAGCCACTTTGGAGGGGAATTTGGCAGTATCCAAAGATATGTTCAAATGCTTAACCCATAAAACAAAAACAGGATGTAAAACAAAAAACATTCAGCAAACAATGATGACAATAAAGAGCTCCTAGAAATTAAAAGTATAATAGCACTAATAAAAAAATCAACAGAAAGGTTGGAAGCTAAAGTTGAGAAAATCTTCCAGAAAGCAGAGCAAAAGGACAGAGATTAAAAAATAGAAAACCCAAAGAAAAAAACCCAAAGGACTAGTCTTGGAGGTCAAATATTTGGATAAAAGGAGTTCCATAAAGAGAACAGTGGGAGAAAATCAAAGAAAAAGTAAAAGAAAATTTTCTTATATTTGTATATTCTGAGCAGAGAACAGAGAAAACAGTGGGAGAAAATCAAAGAAAAAGTAAAAGAAAATTTTCTTATATTTGTATATTCTGAGTTTCCAAACTGGAAGGGCAATGGATACTCAATAAAATAGATAAAAACAGACTTATATACAAGTATATTACTGAAAGGTTTTTCAGAGCTCCGGGGAAAAATGAAGTCCTAACAAGCTTCCAGAAAGAACATATACAACAGATTAAGAATCAGAATAACTTTGGACTTCAACAGCAGTCCTGGAAGTCAGAAGATAATTGCAGCAATGATTTAAAAACTCTGAAGGAAAATGACTTCTAATCTACACTCAGCCTAATTATGCGTTAGTGTAAGGGATTCTCAGACATACATGGTCTCCATATTTGCCTCCCGTGCACCCTTTCTCAGGAAACTACTGGCTAACATGCGTCACCAAAATGAGAGTGTGCACCAAGAAGGTGAAAAACGTGAGATGCAGGAGTAGAGGATCCCCCACAGGGGCAGGTGAGCACAGTCTCCCTGGGAGAAGAACGTTGTGCAGGGAAGCAAACTTATATTATATGGCTCAAGACAATGTTAAACTTGATACTGATTAGCCAAAACTACAAGACAACTGCGGTAGGAGGATGGAGGGATGAGAGGGTGAGTTTGTGCGGTGAGAGCGGACGCAGGAGTTCAGTTTTAATCTCCCACAGTGAGAAGTCCACAGATGGTGGCTAAGCCAGAAAAGTAGAGAAGGAGCAATATAAACTTGTTATTTAGAGAAATGGCAGTAAAAACAAAAATAACCCACTAAGAAAGCTGGAGGCAGTGTCTCTGAAGAAGGGAGAAAGGGCACGTAGTGCTGCTTTTGCTACATGATGCATGTGTGACTCTGACAAACATAAAAATACGAGGGAAAACCCCTGCACACAGGAGTCATTCAGAAAATTTAGAGGCACAGTAAAGCCTTCCAGCAGTACCTCAAACAGTCTGACTACCACACTGCACTGCTGTTATGCTTGTTTGTACGTTATTGCAATATCCTAGAGCTCATAACCATCAAAATTCAGCATTTCACAAGTGCTTAAAAGAAACAGATAAAGCTTTACAGTTTAACCAGGAGTGTTGAAGCCACTCAATCCAGCAGGTACCTTACGCATGTGTTTTCTAAAGTTCTTACCAGCAGTAAAAATGCCTTTGGTGCTCTGTCTTATACTAGAAGTTCTCACGATTGCTGAAAGCCCTGTGAGAAAAAATCAAAAAGGATACCAATAAAACCCCAAACAGATGTTAGTCACCTTAATAGTTCTAAAACCTAAAACCAAATATTCTTTCTAGTTATCCAATAAAAGCAGCAAATCTATCTCTGTCCTGGTGTCACAGAGTGCCAGGGAAAGGCTCAGAGTGGTCAGCCTTAATAGTTCTAAAACCTAAAACCAAATATTTTTTCTAGTTATCCAATAAAACCAGCAAATCTATCTCTGTCCTGGTGTCACAGAGTGCCAGGGAAAGGCTCAGAGTGGTCAGCCGTGGTAGTGGCCGGCCGTGGTAGCGCTGGTGTGAGCACCAGCAAGTGACTGGACCACTGCATGCCTGGGCCTCCTTGCCTTCAAACAAGGGGGTCTGGGGGTTAGGAGACCCTCAATGGTCATTAAGTACTTTAAGTCTGCTTAAGGCTTCTGGTTCTCAATTCTAAGATGTGAAAAGATATAAAACCAAATGTTTTTATCTAGGAGAAAAACTTTCATTCTGAAAACACATGCACAGGGTTCCTCAGTAAGGAGTAACAGTACAAGTCTTTCACCCCTTCAGAAAAGACAGCAGAGATCACACAGCAGGATCACGTTAAAAGAAAAGACAATAAACAATATGTCTTATATAGTTCTATCTTCAGAATAGGAAGGTGGCGACCTAAACACATGCTACGAAAAGCTGGCACAGGTCCACAAGAGAGAATGGAGCCAGCCTGAGATCTAATGGTCAACTGTGGTTTAATGTCCAAAATCGTTACTGTCAATTGCAGCTAACACCGAGGCTGGCAACCCCGAGGAGCTCAAGAAATATTTACTGAATGAAAACAGGGGAATGTGCTTATTTGAGGGAGAGAGTCATTTCCAATCTCATAATTATTTCTTTACTGACTAACCTCATAAATTACCTTTAACGCCTCAAAGGGAAGTAGGTCTCTGAAGATAAGATTTGGATTTTTTGATAAACATTAAAGAGGCCCTGGGGAAATGGGCCACGGTAGTGGGAACCTGCTCAACACAGCATGAGACACATTGGATGGGAGCTGGCCTGTGAGAGCTATGTTTTTTTTTTTTTTTCCTTTCTTCCAAGAGTTTTGCCTTTTTTGGTGGTAGCAGGTGGGGGCAGCTGGCTGCTACAGGGATTGAACCCTGAACCTTGGTTTTATCAGCACCATGCTCTAACCAACTGAGCTAACTGGCTAGACAGCAGCTGTGTTCTTGATGTTATAAAAGCATTCAAAATGTCACCAGCCTCCTTCCTTCTCAGACCACCATGAAGAACACAGACACATCTTTTAAATAACTTCTAGAAGTTATGCTCTTGGAACCAAAAGAAACATTGTTTCTCCTTTTGACAGTGATTTAGGATCCAGGAATCTGAAAATAGAAGTACTTCCCCAACCTCACTTCAAACAAGTGAAAATTTAGATGTGGAAAGACCCCAAACAGTCTGTGCTTTAATCTTGCTGAAGGCAATCTATCTCTCAATCTCACTAGGCAAGAAAGAAGAAATAACATGTCTCAATCACAAACAACGTCTCCTTTTGCCCACAGCCAGCACTCCCCCAATGTCACATTCATAAACGTACCTAGTCGCACCACATCTCCACAGTCAGGATCATGAGCAAGTTGGAATAAAGTTTCTTCCACATCTCTGTTTTTTCCAGGAGGGTCCATAATATGATTTATTTGTTGCTGTAAGGTTTTGGGCAACGTCATTAGCTGAGTGAATTGCCCTTCTGGGCTTTTATCTATCTGAGAAAAAAAGAAAAGATGACATCTATGGAAGTGCTTTGAATTCTACAAATATTCAAAGACACATGGCTTCTATTCAAATCACACAAACATGTACGTACCCACACCGTAGGCTAAGTAGTGTGCTAAGGAGCCTTACTCTCCTTTCTCACTGAATGTATAAAGGTTCGGGATTCTCAGCCCCTTCAAAGAGGACAATTCTGTTCCTATAATATACATTTCTACGTGAGAAAGGAACAGAAGCCTCTTTCAAGGATCAATTTCTGACTTTCAGTTTTAAAATTTCCATCTGTCTTAAACCTGATAGTGAAAGGAAGTGGGGCCACACTCCACACTACGTTCATCAAAGCCCTGTCACATCTGGCACTCAGACGAACCCTCCCACTGCAAACTCAGGGAGACTGACCAACATACCCAGGAGCACACAGCCAACAGGAGACCAGGATCTGAACGTGTGTCTCTTTCCCTTAGGCCTTTTACATACCATGTTGTATGTCACAAACTGTAGAAATCCACTGATGACAAACACTCATCTCATTCACTTTTAATCCCCTGGCACCCGTATGTAGTCAAAAACATTGGCTGAATAAGGAAATGAATAACTGATTCAATACAACTTGGCTATCGTTATTTATTAAATAGGAATAAGCCATACCAGTGGCTTCTGTTCCCAATATATTCCAAAATATATTAAGTTATTGAAAGATAAATAACGGAAATAAAACACTGAGTCAGAAGTTAGCCACAGGCCTGAGACTGGACCTAGCTTCCCTAATTCCCAGTCTAATATACTTTGCTTCATTGAATTAAATTTTTAAAAAATCATCTAAACATTGCCTGCCTGCCGAGTACACAACTAGTAACACTACCCTCAACAGCTCATCACATTACTTTCCAAGTAAGAATCTATCTTGTATTCTTTAAACAAACGTTTAGGTTTTAACTTCAACTAAGAGAACAGTAAAAAAAAATTACACAAATGAATGTATGAAATTTTAGATACAGATTTTCCAGATATGACCAACTTTCTTAAAATTAGAATTTACTTATTCTACCATTTTTTTGGTATTACAAGGCTGTGCTCTAACCAACAGAGCTAACTGGCCAGCCTTTTTTTATTCACTTTTTTACATTCAACAAATATTTAAGTACATACCAATCCCTGGATTTTCTAGTTTTGTCTATAAAAATCTGTGTAAAGAAGGAGAAAATACTATTATTTAGTGGCTCCAATAAAGGTAGAGGGGTGTTTTTACCTAAATATTTGATATTTATCACTAGTATGGTCCTAAAGTCACAGGCAACATCCTCTACTTAGCTTTGGCTACACGAATGACAAAAAATGTGAATATTTCTGTAAAATATCCTAGAAATGACATTTATGAACTCATATTTTGGGGCCACATATTGAGATAAGTGAAAAGGATTTTATATTTAAGTTATGCTTTACCTGTGAAACTTCCAGGAATTTCAGAGATGCCAAAGTGGCTTGGGTAACAGGAGGACTTAGAAAATAGTATTTGCTGCTGCTTTCTCTTGAGGAAAAAAAGCACTGAAACTTTTACTTGAAAGCATGTGTTTAAAGACAAAATATTAGATGACATATTCAAATAAATTGCTAAATTTGGCCTGTTTCTTTACTCTTTAATTCTCATTAAAACATCAAAGTGAAAGCATTCAGTTAAATTTTGAAGGTCAAACTGCATTTTAAAAGCAGATATGTAAAAGACCACATATTGTATAATTCTATTTATATGAAGTGTCCAGAATAGGCAAATCCACAGAAACAGAACATAGATTAGTGGTTACCTGGGGGGAGGAAAAGCTGGGGTACAGGATTTCTTTTCAGAGTGATGGAAATGTTCTAAAATTAGATTGTGGTGATGGCTGCACAACTCTGTGAAGATACTAAAAATCACTGATTTTTTTTTTTTAAAGATGACCAGTAAGGGGATCTTAACCCTTGACTTGGTGTTGTCAGCACCACACTCTCCCAAATGAGCTAACCAGCCATCCCTATACAGGGATCCGAACCCGCAGCCTCGGTGCCACCAGCAACACACTCTCCCAAGTGAGCCACAGGCCAGCCATGTGGATGATGAGGTCTCAGATAGAAATGAGGAACTTATTGGGAATTGGACAAAAGATCACCCTTGCTACACCATAGCAAGGAACTTGGCTGGATTGTGTCCATGCCCCTGGACTTTGTGGAAGGTAGGACTTGAGTTGTGAACCAGAATGTTTGGTGGAAGAAATTTGTAAGCAGCAAAGCTGCATGGTTACTTTTAACAGCCTACTCTGAGTTATGGTGGCGAAGGCATGATGTAAAGCCAGAATTTAAAAGGGAAGCAGAGTGTAAAGAATTGGAAAATTTGCAGCCTGGCCATGTGGTAGAGAAGTAGAGAGCATTTTCAGAAGGAAAATGAAGTGGTTAAGAAGATTAACACAAAAGTACAGGATTATCAAGAGAAGAGGGAAAAGGCCCTGAAGGCATTGCAGAAGCCTTTGGGACCAATCCTTCCATTTCAGACCCAAAGTCCTAAGGAGTCAGAATGGTCTTGGGGAACAGGCTTGAGGCACCCTCTGCAGCTCACTGCTCATGGCCACCTCAGGAAGCAGCTTCTAGCACCAGCACCCCAGCTGCTTTGGCTGCTCCAGCCATGGCTAAATTGGGCCCAGGTGTGGCTGGACCCGCAGCTTTGGAAAACACAAGCCAGAAGTCTTGGCGGCATCCACATGGTATTAGGTTTGCAGGCTTGCAGAATGCCAGAGCTGTGAAGGCTTGGGAGCCTCCACCCCGATTTCAACAGATGTATGGAAAAGCCTGGGGGCCCAGGAAGAGATCTGTGGCAGGAACAGATTCACCACATAGAGACTCAACTAGAGCAGTGCTGAGTGGAAATGTGGGGTTGGAGTTGCAGAAGTAAAACCCCATTAGCACCATGCCTAGTGGAGCTGTGGGACTGCCATGTCAACCCCAGACCTGTAAAAGTACAGTGTGCAACACCAGCCTATGAGAGCTGAAGCATCCCCTGAGACCAGGAAAGCCATAGGAGCAGAGCTGCCCGAGCACTTGGGGACCCAACCCCCACACCAGCATGCAGAGGACATCAAACATGGAGTCAAGGTACATGATTTGCCAGCTTTGAGATTTAATGCCTGTCCTGCTGGGTTTTGGACTTGCTTAGGATGTGTTTCTCCTTTCTTTTGGCCTATTTCTCCCCTTTGGAATGGGAATATGTACCCTATGTTTGTCCCACCATTGTATCTTGGAAGTAGATAACTTGTTTTGAATTTCACAGATGGGACTTTGAACTTTCGACTTTTGAATTGAAACAAGTTAAGACTTTGGGGATGAAATGAATGTATTTGTATGTGAAATGGACATGAGTTTTGGGGGGTCAGGGGTGGAATGTAGTAGATTGGATCATGTCCCCCCCAAGCTCCCTGAAGATTGAATTGTGTCCCCCAAGTTTTATGTATTAGAAACTTAGCCACCACTGTGTGACTGTTAAGAGGGTGGGAAATCCTATTACAGTAATTGAAAGGTGGGGCTTTGAAGAGGTGATTGGACTGTAGGACTGTTGAAGTAGTGAACGGATTAAAGACGGTGGTCAGGGGCATAGTCCTGAGGGCTTTAAAAGAAGAGGAGAGTCTGTCTTTCTTTTTCTCTGTTCTCTCTGCTTCCACCATATTGCAATGTGAGACCCCTGGGTCACTGTCGCCACCACCAGATGGACCAGCCTCAGAAACTGTAAGCAATAAATTTTGCTCTTCTTTATAAATCGCCCAGTCTCAGGAATTCTGTTATAGCAACACAAAAAGGACTAATACTATTAGAGACTGAGAACAAGGAACATGGGGTAAGAGGTATGTAGATGAACTTATGGGAATGGACACAGAGTGTAAAGAGCTTTGTATTTTATGTTAATGCCTACCAGCAAGCATCATGAAATAGGAGGTAGCAACAACCAAAACAATTCAGCCAGTTGACTCAATAGCCTCTGTTGTCCTAGTGCTGGCACAATGGGCTCATAAAGGGAGTATCATGGTGGCAGAGATAGAGGCTATGCCTGTACCCAATTATCATGGGCTTCTACTCACCAAGGCTGACTTAGCTACTGCTGCTGTTTAAAGTCCATCCTGACAGCAACAGAGGCCAACACTGAGATCTGATACAGGATCATTTCTTGAGACTAATCAACCACTTGGTGGTAAATTGACCACATGAGACCCCTACCACCTGGTTAAGGAGCAGCAATTCATTTTGACTGGAAGTGATATATACCCTGAACGTGAGTTTGCCTGTCTTGTTGGCAGAGTCTAGCCAGTACCACTGCACAGGGCTTACGGAATGTCTGATTTGCCAACATGGTATACAACTCATATCACTTATGAAACCCACTTTAGAGCAAACAATGTGCCTAGTGCAGCAATGGGCACATGACCATGGCTCCACTGTTCCTACCACATACTGTACCAAAGCTGCCAGCCTGATAGAGCAGTGGTTCTCAAAGGGGGGAATTTTTGCCCCCCCCCAACACAGAATTATCTGGCCTAAAATGTTAATGTGCCACTGTTGAAAAACTTCAGGAAAGAAAATCAAGAAACAATTGAGACCAGCATGGAGATGACACCCTGTAAGAATGGGGTGTAGTATACATCCTAGATTAATGACCTTTATACAGTACTCTGTTCCCAACTGGTAGAAGATATGGTCTGGAACCAAGTGGTGGCAGGAGCAGTGGCCTTGCTTACCATCAATCCCGGTGACCCACCTGGGAACTTGGTGCTTCCCATCTCCACAACTCTAGGTCTGTGGGTCTAGAGTTCCTAGTTCCCAGAGGAGGAATGCTTCTACCAAAGCACACAGTAAGCATCCCATTAAATTTGAGCTATGACTGTCACTCAATCACTTTAGAATTCCTAAAGTCTCCGTACTGGCAGCAGCAACTGACCCTGATCAGCAGGAGGTAGGGCTGCTGACACCCATCTCATTGTACACCTTGCCCAATTTTGATGCTAAACGGACAAGTGTGGTGCCAGTCTGAGATGGGCATGGTGACAAGGTCTCAGACTCCTCAGAGATGAGGGTCTGGGCCACCTTGTCTAGTTGAGCAGATAAGGGTGAGGGGGATCTAGAATGGGTAGTAGAGGAGGAAGAAGATGAGTATCAGTTGCAGCCTCAAGACCAGATGCAGCACTGGGAGCTGTAGCTCTACCCCTAACCTTATTCTGGTAAGTTTCCCCAGGAAAAGAAACCAGTTAGAAACTAGATCATGCGGGCCTCTCTCTGTAGGCCACAGGGAGGAGTTTAGATAAGTTTATCTTCAAAGTTAAAGGACATTTTTACTCCTTTTCCCTCACTCAGTTTCTGGAAAGTTGGCAACTGGGATATTATCCTTCCCTGTCCTCTAGCCAGAGAACAGAAGATGTCTTTCTGAAGAAATACTATAGATACTGACATTTGGGGTCCTCCAATAAAGCAGCCATAACCCTACAGTGAAGCCTACAGTTGATAAACCCTATCTACCACAAACAACTTCCAGTCTGTGTTTTAGTGCCTTGTGCTTTAAAAACAGGCCAGGAAGGACATCCAGATATTTAAGGAAAGCCTCTAACCTAACAGACAATAATGAATCGACAGAGAAAGGGAACTAAGAGAAAAAGAGACAACGTGGAAAGCAAGAAAAGACTTCAAAAATTATGGGGTCAGCCCGGTGGCGCACTCGGTAGAGTGCGGCACTTGGAAGCGCAGCGGCGCTCCCGCCGAGAGTTCGGATCCCATATAGAGACCGGTCCGCTCACTGGTTGAGCATGGTGCGGGCGCGACACCAAGGGTT